GGCGGAACCGGGGCAAACAGGACGTTACACAAGGTGGGTGGGGGGCGGAGCGCACTCTGGTAGCCAGGGGGACACTAGGACGGGCCGGACCGTCACGCAAGCCCCCCCCCCCTGCGAGGGGGTTAGGAAATTAAGGTTATGTGCGGTTTTTGCTTGCTAAAACGGTAATGTATATCTAATGGGAACCACAGAAATAACTTGCGATACGCAGACGATACTATTCTAGTAGCCGATAACATGCAAGATCTACAAAACCTAATAGATAAAGTCTTGTATTATAGTACAGAGTCTGGACTGACACTGAATGTAAGGAAGACTAAATGGATGTTACTAACAAAAAAGGAAACTGACACTCTCGAATATCTCAAAGTTAGAGATAATGTCATAGAACGAGTATCCACATTTAAATATTTGCGTACCAACGTAAATGAAAAGTGGGATCCAAGGAAAGAAGTAAACTCCAGAATTGCATACGCCATTGCATTGTATTGCATGCATAAATATGAATGGATTCTTCCATTAAATCAGGCATAATCTGGAACTCGGAATGAGGATGGTGAGGGCCTATGTGTTCTCTGTGCTTTTATATGGATGTGAGTGTTGGACCCATGACCCTTGCTCCGAAAAAAAAATTCGAGGCTTTCAAAATGCGTCAAAAGGCGTCTTCTTCCTATTCCCTGGGTACAGAAAGTGAGAACCACGAAAGTACTAACAATATAGTTTTCGAAAAATCGTCACTGGGCGGGGCAAGTTTTTATTATAAAAGAACTTCGCGGTTTCGTGTGGTAAAGGGACGCATTGTTTTTCTATCGTCCTCCTGCGGACCACTATGGAACTTTCGCACAATCGATGTAATTTAATTGTGCATGCGCCCTGTATAAAATGTCCTTCACATCTCATCGAACTTCAAAGTTATAGCAAACATCGGTAAATATTAAAATTTGCACAATAATAGCGTTGTCGGATGATATTTTTTCAAATATCTCGCGCCATGTATAATTGACGTAACCTGAAACTCTCACGACACGGTTTACAATACTATTCAAATAAAATTATCCCATCTTTATAATTATTAATTTATAATTTAGCCACAAAAACGGAAATTTTTAGGATATTTTAGATTTTTTGCCCGTAATCGACAAACCCTGTATATCATTGTTCGAGGTAGAGGATTTCCACACGCCCTGGTTCAAGAATTTTTTGAAAATAGTAAATGGTTTTCGAGAAAATAAGTTTTTTCTGAAACCAGGCAGTGCGCCGTAATAATCAATGACGTCATCGCGTCTTGACAGCCCCCGAAATAGCGATTTCAACATGGTTTTTTTCAAATATCCCGAGCACATTTTATTACGTTGAATTTCTACTGTTTAGATATGCGTATGGACTTTTACTTCCTTGCCAAATTTGAAGTCGATGACTACATATTTGAGACGTTGAGACTATGACGTTTTAGAATATATAGCACAGAATATTCCGAACACCCTGTACAACATGTGAAAACCGTAAATACAAAAGTTTTAGCGGTCCTACTGCTGTCCTGTCCATATTTTTCAAAATCTTTGAGGCTTTGGTAAAAGAAATAATTGCATTGTATGTTGACAAAAATAAAGTTTTTGTGGAGAGACAGTTTGGATACCTTTCGGGCAAATCAACATTGAAATCAATTATAGCCATTCTGGAAAAGGTTTCGGAGGCCTTGTTGGATTTTTCGAAGGCTTTTGATTGCGTTAGCCAAGAGTTTCTTGTAAACAAACTTGAATTTTACGTTATAAGGGGTCAAAGTTTGAACTTTTTTAAATCTTACCTTAACAAGAGACAACAAATTGTTACGTTATCTAATAGTGATGTTTCTGAACCACAACTTATTTCGCTTGGGGTGCCACAAGTCTCAATACTGGGTCCGATTCTTTTTCTTATATTTATTAACGACTTACCAGCGATTATAAGATCACATATAGTTTCTTTATATGCAGATGAGACAACAATACTTAATTTGGGTGGAACCTTAAGTGACGCAGTATCTGCAAGTGGTACAGGGCGAAATAAATCAGAGGTTGTCTTTTTTTCAAGTGCAGCTGAAGTTAGTTCTCACAACGCTAAACTTCTGGGTGTGTACATAAATAGCTGACTTAACTGGCACGTGCATACAGATATACTGGCGGGGAGATTAAACAAAGTTACATTTAAGATTCTAAAACTTATTCAACTTACAATTTGTGAGACGGATTTAACGTTTTATCTTAGTATATATATATCATATTGTTGTGGGGAGACTCTTCAGAGGCAGATAGAATCTTTAAAATTCAAAAAAACATTGTTCGAACTTTGTGTTGCGCACAAAATAAGGATCACTGTAAGCTACTATTTAAATAAATGAAAATACTGACTCTCCATTCAATTTTTATCTATCAGTGCATGATGTATGTCCATGAAACTAAAAAAATAAAGAGTTCCGACTTTCACATGTATGATACCGGACATAGAAATGATCTTTGTATTCCAAACAAAAAATGTAAACAAAATTCAATCGTCCATTAACCGGTATTATACCATATAACAAATACCGGCAACTTTCAAAAACAACTGTGCCCTGTTCGAATTTCAAAAAACTATTAAACAAATTTTAACAGAAGAAATATAAAGATTTTTTGAATGCAACTTTACTTCTAAAACTCATACCGTCAACATTAAATTTATTGTTTATATATGCTAGGGCAATAAATTATTTTATTAAATTGGCTAAATCATTATAAAAATAGATTTTTCTTATATTCTGCGTTATTTTAAAAATGATGTCCTGTTCTTCCTCGTTTTTCGATTGCTTTTGTTAGATGTCGCGTGTTGAATCGATATACTATTATTGCGAAGAACTAGGAAAAATAAATATATTTTATTTTTCCAGAGGTTGATCGGAAGAGGAGGGGGGGTCGTCTAGGAATATTCAAAACTACGTTTTGGAGAACGTTTGCGCTCGAAAATTCCCCGAGGCGATTTGGAAACTTTTACGGGATTCTAAATTCCGGTTGCTTCGTTTTCATTCGACGTCTTATTGCGTTTGCGTTTCGATTGAAAACCTCCGAGTAACGTTAGAGTGGCATCGCAATTTGTTACAAATAGAGGGATGCGCGCTGTTTATAGACCTCGAACTCGACAGGTCTCTATTCGCACACATTTTTTTATTTCATTTCGTTAAATTTGACTTGCAAGCTGAGGAATTGTTATAGTCTAATCTAAATTTTGAAAAGAAAATTAAATCTAATGGATGAACAAGTGACATTGAGCCTAATCATATAGCTATACTTGACCCCCTGCCTAGCAGGGTGTTCTTGGATTCACTAAGAAGCGGGATATAAGTATGTTTTCAATCTTTTTCGCCGAGCAATTCTTAAAACATGCACATAAAAAAGTACAAAGTAACAATTTATTACGTTTTCATTATTAATATACGAAATATTAAATATAAATATAATAAAACTAAAATTCTTGCTCGTAATTCTTCTACCAACGAAAAAGAATCTTAACTGCGACTCAGGTGTCTACCTGTCACCAATATGGGAATCAGTCATTCGAGACGGTGTTCATGCCCCTCATTTAACTCCGCCCCCCTCAAACAATATATAAGCAGGTACAGAGTAAAATACGAGCCAGTTTCAGTCAAGCTTTGAAGAAGCCAACAGGATGATTGGCGAAACGTCAGCAAGTTCGACTCAGCGAAAACCGACGCAGGAGGAATCCAGAAGTTTTGTAAAAAGTATTACAGTAGCCTGTGGAAGTTTCTTTGAAAAGCTGGTTCAATTTGATTTTGTAATAAGTCCAAATAGGTTTCTGCCGCGAGGTTATGGTCCATAAAAAATGGCACAATAATATGATGTCCGCAATTTCCCACCATAACATTTATTTTTTGAGGATATCGGTTTCGAGTGTGAACATAACGATATTTATTGTCTTGGCTAAAATACCTACAGTTTTGAACATTTGTTTGTTTGTACATACATAAATGAAACCAATATCCTATCATAGTTGCTTTCTCGGTCATTTCAAAACAAAATGCTACTCTTCTTTCTTGATCACCTTCCCGAAGGTCTTGCTGCTTTTCGTATTTATAGGAAAAATATTTGTGTTTTTTTTATGTGGGCAACATACAGTTTCTTCAAGAATCTTCGAACTAATCATTTTGTTTTCTTCCACATGCCGTAAAATGTTGGAATTTCTATTGGCACATTTTCAGCTGAACATTCCAACATTTGCTCCTATTTATTGATACATTTAATTGTTGTTCAGATATAGAATGTTTTTGAAATTTTAAGTAATATATCCAAATACAAAAATATCATGGTGATTTGTTGGCTTTCTCCAGATTATAGAGATTATTTTATTATATTATTATTATTCCAATATCTTAAACCTTCTTCACATACCATACAAATAATATGTGGCCCCCAACGTTTGTCTTGATGACCATTATTTACTTTAAAATAAGCATGGAATTGTTTTTTTAAAGTAGGAGTTTAATTTGAGGACTAGATTTCTTGACGCCTAAAGAGCAAAACTTGTTTGAAATATTTTTACAAAATCTTGGCATTTAAAAAAAAAATTGAACCGCACCATGCTCACTAACTTCACGAGTGCAATTACAAACGCAATTACACGATAAACTATATTTTACTTCGGTAATTTCCCGCTAAAAAAAAATACGTGTTAGAAACAAAGCACATTGTTTTTCTATTATTTTAGTTCTTGTAACTCCGAAAATGTGAAAAATAAATCTGTGGTATCATTAAATATATAAAAATGTTGAACAAAAGAGGTTTTAAGTTTCTGGTGGTCATTTAAATATACATCCACTACCTAACCAATACCTCGTTGTACTTACTGTTAAAAAAATATAGGCACTTTTAACTTAAATTTCAATTATCATTATTAATGATATTTGTTTTGTCCTTCTGGGAATGATAGTTCCCGCTACGAGGTCGGTTATCTAGAAAAGTAATTTTCTTTACCTGGTATACTGGTTCCCAGAGCTACGAAAACTATTGCCGTCACGGCGTCTCTTATACCTAAGGTGGCACCGAAATGCGAGGCGACGTCTCCTATGATAGCGGTGACCACACCTATGCAGAAAATCGAAACTACGAAGCACAGATATCCTTTGAATATATCTGAAACAATCAAAAGATAAGCAAATATTATTATCTCTATTGTGGTATGTTCTTTTTTGTTATATTTTCATTAAAGCTATTATTCTATATATATATATATATATATATATATATATATATATATATATATATATATATATATATATATATATATATATATATATATATATATATATATATATATATATATATATATATATATATATATATATATATATATATATATATATATATATATATATATATATATGATGACACTGATGACACTATATTCCGGGATATCATCCGTTCGCTCGTTGAACTCCGACTGGAATCCTGCAGACGTTTCGCCAAAATCTCACTTGGCATCTTCAATGCTCGCGCTCCGAAAACACTTCGAACACTCACACTCGGAGCGCGAGTATTGAAGATGCCAAGTGAGATTTTGGCGAAACGTCTGCAGGATTCCAGTCGGATGCAAGATTTGCAGGATTCCAGTCGGATGCAGGATTCCAGTCGGAGTTCAACGAGCGAACGGATGATATCCCGGAATATAGTGTCATCACATTTTTCCATCCGAGAATCAATACGTGAGAATATATATATATATATATATATATATATATATATATATATATATATATATATATATATATATATATATATATATATATACATATATATATAGACTATGTAAAATAAATTAGGGATATCATCCGTTCGCTTGTTGAACTCCGACTGGAATCCTGCATGCATCCGGTTGGAATCCTGCACACGTTTCGCCAAGATGCCAAGTGAGATCTTGGCAAAACGTCTGTAGGATTCCAGTCGGATGCAGGATTCCAGTCGGAGTTCCACGAGCAAACGGATGATATCCCGGAATATATTGTCAACATATTTTTCCAACAGTGAATCAATACGTGGATATATATATATATATATATATATATATATATATATATATATATATATATATATATATATATATATATATATATATATATATATATATATATATATATATATATATATATATATATCCTGCATATTTCGTTCATTCATTAATCTTCTGATCGTTTCATTCCACGATCTACGTGGTCTGTTTCGTTTGCTTTTTCTTGGTGGGCTGCACTGACTTATTATTTTGGACCATCTCTCTTCAAGTATTCTTAATTCTATTCGATCCTTCTTTTTAGATCGTCATTTAGAGTCTACGCTTCTGATCCTTAGCTCAAAGCTCTATCATATCAAACGTCTATCATTTCTCTTAACTAAATTTAAGGAGAAATTTATGCAATGACATTAGAATATATATATATATATATATATATATATATATATATATATATATATATATATATATATATATATATATATATATATATATATATATATATCCTGCATATTTCGTTCATTCATTAATCTTCTGATCGTTTCATTCCACGATCTACGTGGTCTGTTTCGTTTGCTTTTTCTTGGTGGGCTGCACTGACTTATTATTTTGGACCATCTCTCTTCAAGTATTCTTAATTCTATTCGATCCTTCTTTTTAGATCGTCATTTAGAGTCCACGCTTCTGATCCTTAGCTCAAAGCTCTATCATATCAAACGTCTATCATTTCTCTTAACTAAATTTAAGGAGAAATTTATGCAATGACATTAGAATATATATATATATATATATATATATATATATATATATATATATATATATATATATATATATATATATATATATATATATATATATATATATATATATATATATATATATATATATATATATATATATATATATATATATATATATATATATCCTGCATATTTCGTTCATTCATTAATCTTCTGATCGTTTCATTCCACGATCTACGTGGTCTGTTTCGTTTGCTTTATCTTGGTGGGCTGCACTGACTTATTATTTTGGACCATCTCTCTTCAAGTATTCTTAATTCTATTCGATCCTTCTTTTTAGATCGTCATTTAGAGTCCACGCTTCTGATCCTTAGCTCAAAGCTCTATCATATCAAACGTCTATCATTTCTCTTAACTAAATTTAAGGAGAAATTTATGCAATGACATTAGAAAATATGCATTTTTAATTTTATTTTTGATTCAGACACTTTTTTGTCTACTGCGATTTTTTCATAAAACAAATAAAATAATAAAATGTACAGCATAGCTTGTTGAAAAAAGTTATTTTAGAAAAGCAATGTAGTTAGATGCCCTCAAACAGATGTATTTTATGCCAATATTTACCAATTACGTTCTAAACAAATACATTTGAGAATTAATTTATTAATAACATTTCTGAAACTAATTGATCTATTCATGCGTGATCAATGAAAAAACAAATTATTTTACAATATAACTCACATAAAACACAACAAATTAGCAACAGGCCCTAAGACATACGAAATAATATATTATGCAACAAGTTTTGCAATTAGTTTTTGGGTAAATTTTTTGCAAAATAGCATGACTGTCAGAATTGACGAACGTCAAAATTCAAGGTGTGGGAAATATCTCCAACATCCGATTGCTCCCAAACACGTGCGGTAAAATCCCGGAAATGTTCGTAGTGGCTCGGATCCGTGGGAAACGAAACTGACGTGGTAAAATGTCGCTTCCCGCACGCTTGATCGGTGTGTAATTAGGCATTTTGCAGACGGGAGTAGAGAATAGTATATTATGCAACAAGTGCGGTAAACGGCATTTGACTCACGAGTTTATTTGACACGAGCGAAGTGCAGGGGAGCGAGTTTTTAATAAACAAGTGAGTTATAAATTTTACCGGACGTAGTTATATATTGGACACCTTGTACATCATCATATCGATTTTATTTATCAATCGAAAGTCTAAAATTTACAAACACCTCAACTTATTACCTTCGAGCTTCCGGTATCGATCAGAATGATCTAATTTGATAAAACCGAGTCACGGGGCGGCCATCGCGTGACGTCACCTCGCGGAACGTTACCCGTATGACCGTTTCGCAAATTGGATTTGCAATGTTGATTTGCTACACCGCGATTCGATCAGGAATCGAAAGCGACCCAAAACAAACAGCGATGCGCCCATATATTTCCTTTTTCCATTAAAGCCTGCAAAATTAATTCTCCGTCTCTAGACGTGTACGACTAGGTGGCCATAATTACACGTTCGGAAAATTATATTTTGAGGAACTATAGTTTATGTATATGAATACTGTTCAAATTAAATTATCGCATCTTTAACAGTCATTCATTGATAGCCAATAATTTTCCCACAAAAACGGGATATTCTAGGATATTTTAGATTTTTTGCCCATAAATGACACACCCTGTATATAATTCAAACAATGTTCCAAATAGAGGTTATAGTACTGGATCTCCCACGTTTATATAGACTAATATAGACTAAATGGTTTTCCAGAAAATGCTTGTTTTCTAAAACCATGTAGATTGAGGGTTTTCATTTGGATTTTTTTAAATATCTTGTACAGCGTATATAATAGACGAAAACCGTAAATACAAAAATTGTAGCTCTGAATGTGGCCTATAACACTGTTTGAACTAATTAGCAATATCTTTTACGAATTTACTTTGGAAAAGGACAAATTTCGTTGTCTTTTAGATTTTTTTTCATAATTCAAAAACCCTGTCTATAATAAAAAAATTTCCATAAGTCCAAAAACGCATATTTTTCAAGATACAGGGTGTTAAAATTTTCTAAAAAAGTTGTTTTTCCTTTTATAACTTTTATACCATTTTCGATATTTTTATCAAATTTGGTGTACCTATTTTAATTATTATTACTAATTAAATTAATTAATTAGTTATTATTAATTTTGACATAAAAGCTTTATTTTTATTTTTACCAGTGCCGTCCGTAAGAGGTTTGGAGTGAATATTTTTTAAGAAAAAAATGGCACGCTATTGATTTTTCTGAAAATAAAAATTAATTTTGAAATTCCCATTCAATTGGGAGCAAATAACAGGAAGACGTTTATTACTAAATAATATTAAATAACTGTAAAGAAAAATGTTTATTTGTTGGATCCTTACAAACATTACTCTTACATTACTAAATTAGAGCAACTGCTGGAAATGACCTCCCCCGATTTCGATACATGCGTGTGTACGCGTTATTAGGGACTGCTGAACCCTTTCTAAAATACGAGTAACTGTTCCTAAAAAAGTCTCCTATCCGATTTCTTAGATCTTCCTCACTTCGGACTGGTGTTGTGTACACTAATGTTTTTAAGTGTCCCCAAAGAATGAAATCTATTGGATTTAAATCAGGTGACCTGGGTGGCCAAAAATGTGGTCCAGCACGCCCAATCCAGCGATCACTATAATTTTCATCTAAATACTGACGTGCTATTAAAATGAAAACTCCAATCCAAACATTTACCGAAAATTGCTCTTGAAAATGGTTTTCAATTACGACGTGAGGATTATTATCGGCTCCCACATGATTGTTATGGAAGTTTATTGTTGAGTTACGGGAAAAATATGACTCGTCGGTAAACAACACTTGTGATAAAGACCTTGCATTTTGCACTAACTTATTTTGTGCAAATCTACACAAAACTACTCTTAGCGGAAAATCCCTTGTTAAAAGGGCTTGGACTAGTAGCATATGATAAGGGTAAAGTTGTTGATCTTTTAAAATTTGCCATACTAATACATGGGTAACGTTTAATTCGGTTGCAATTTTTCTAGTGCTAGCTTCTGGGTTTTCTTCAGTAGCATTTATGACAGCTTCCTATATCTGAACCGTTCTTACTGTTCTTGGTCTCCCTATAAAAGCAGTAGACCTATTAAAACTACCCGTTTCACCAAGTCTGGAGTGAATATTAACAAAAAGTTGTCTCTCAGGTAGCGGGCGGTTAGGATATCTTTCTTGATACATCCGTTTTGCGGCGCGAGCGTTACCATGACCCCTTCCATACACGAAGTGCATATCTGCCATTTTATGGTTTGTGGACTGAACCATTTTCACCAAAACAAACAAATAATTTTTAAATAAAAATTTTAAAAACTAGCAACAAACAAACCAAGTGAAATTTCATTTAGAAATTTGACAGCTGTCATTTATTGTTATAAACAAAAGAATTACTGTCGCTTAGCAAAGCCCACTTTGCCATTTTAGTAAATTGTATATTAAATTGCAGTTTGATTCTTAAATTTTCCTATTAAATTGCTAGTTTAATTAAAAAAAGTGTATTTGAAAATAATGATGTGGTAGCTAGCTTTAATAAATAAAAAAAAAGGTAAAAAGGACCGCGTGAATGCTAATTGAAAATCATAAGTGTCGTCGCTAAAAAAGTACGGGAGATAAAAAAGATATGACTGTGAAAAAAGAATCACTAGATTATTACAAATTCTACTTATTCATTTTTATGAGCACTAGTCATAGCATTACACATGCCAACTTTCAAGTAGAGCGGACTTTTTTCTTTAAACATATTCAGTCCAAACCCCGTACGGACGCCACTGGTAAAAATAAAAATAAAGCTTTTGTGCCAAAAATTTCTCTCAATAATTAAAAGTTGTTCACCAAATTTGATAAACATATCGAAAGTGATATAAAAGTTATAAAAGGAGAAACAAATTTTTTAGAAAATTTTAACACCCTCTATGTAGAAAAATATGGATTTTTGGAGCTATGTTTCTATGAATTTTTCGTTTTAGAATCACGCAAGGAATCGTTTGGCAGAGTACATTTTTAACACCCTGTATATTATATATCATATTTTACTTTATTAATTTTAAATGGGCATTTAATAATTTAAAAAAATACAACTTAATTAAAAAAAATAATATTTTACTGGAAACTACTATTGTATTCAAACCGGCCCCCCTGTATATGCAAGAAAAGATCCATTCTTCGGAAAGAATTTGAATCGTCAAGGAATTAGATATTTCCATATTGTATACATAAAGTTTTGTAATTTTTCATTATTAAATATTTCTTTTTAAGGTTCAAAGGTGACGTGACACTAATTATTTTACCTTCATTATCAAAAGCCTTCTTGCACTGTACCGATAAAAAAAAATGTTCATTTTCCGAATTCCTACTGATATCCATTATAATTATCTTCGGAAATTTTCTCCACCCTAACGGTAACACAATTTTGGTCCAAACAAATGGCGAGTTCTCTGGTGGACCCTTAATCAAAGTCATTTATTTTTGGTATATTTAATTACCGTTTGTCTTCTTTCGCGTCGACTAATGCCCCGGCCATAATAAAGATGGGAAGACTTTGATAAAGTCTTCCGAAATTTTATTGTTCGCCGAGGTACAATGAGAAGACGCCGCGGCGATGGGGTGCCGGTCAAAAAAATAGCGCGTAATTTCTTTTAGTCGCCAAAAAGCCTGGAAATCGGAAGTTAATATCGTTACGAAACGACGGAAACTTTTTTTTCCAGCCCAAAAAATACAAAGTCGGCGTGTGGTATTAACTTTTTTAGGTTATGTTTATAAAGCGTACATTTCCAATCAAAACTTACTCTGGAGATATATATTTTTTTATTATCGCTTAAATCTTCAGCAAGTTTTATTTGTATATACGCTCAACAAAAAAGCGGCTTTATGCTCAATTATGGGAATTTCTGTCTGCAAGAATAATACAAAATTATTTAAGATGGATGTTTAGCTTAAAGGTTGATAACCCGCATCTGCCTCCTTGAAGGATGAGGAAACCCCTTTTACCATTACATAATGGTGTTAGATTATTATAAATAATATTGTACGTTTCTACTTTTAATATTGCTTAATGTTCATGTACAATTTTTTTTCATTTTTTTTTTATTTCTTTGCCTTTTTTTTGCAGCAATATTTCCGTCCCACGATTGGCTTTATAAATAAATAATTAAATAAATAAATTAAATTAAATAAATAAATTGGATAGAACGAGAGATAAAAACAGCATTGACATATTTATAGCGTACAATTTTTTGTTAAAATATTATTCAGTTCAGTTATTCAGTCAGACACTACATATACATATTATAATTATATTGTAATACACTATTATACTATCTAGACATGAATTAAGGTAACTTTCTAAACAACGCATTAAGCATTGGTACCGAAAGCATTTGGTCTTGCAAGAATTTAATTAAACGTATTATTTCATTGCATAAATATTTTTTTACTTTTTAACAAAAATATTAAAAGAAGGCTCATTTTTCACAATGTTTGGCAGTAGGTCGTATGTATTTCTCTATTTGTCCTGGCAACTGTATGTGAGTGTGTTTTTTCGATATGGGTTATTTAGTTTTGCAAAATCATTTATCTTAATGTCAAAAGTTTTTTTTTTTTTTTGGTTAAGTACAATATATTTAGTTTTTTCAATGTTCCTTTTAAGTCATTCTTTGCTATATTTGCCAATACTTCTGAATTTTTTAATGGATAAATTAAGACCGTATCAACACACATTCATCACTACTTCCAAAACAAGTTTTAAAATGATTTAACAATTAGCATATCAGAAAGCATATTAGGAAACACTTGAGCAGTCCACCAAATAAAATCAGCAGCATTCGCATAAAAATCCATTGACACTGTTATTGCTTTCTCAATGTTTTAAATTGTATTTAAATTTATTATTATTTAAAATTGTGCGCAAGCAAGGTGATCACCTGAACCACAAAGCATCTAGAGAAGAAAGCAGTTTTATGTTGGCGTACTATAAACTTATCGCTAAGCTTAGCCTTAAATGGTTATTAAATGACGCTGACGCTGATCGTACATGTTTACTGAAAATCGATAGTATATTTGGATATCATCTCCATTTATAATACTTTAGAGATTTTAAAATTGAATCCTGAGTCACTTCAAACGTTTTGAACAAATATCCTTTGACAAATCCGTAATATTTAAATTTTGTGCAGAACAGCTCATAACTAATAGTAGTGTAGTAGTGCCGGTTATAAGCCACTTTTGGTGGGAAAATTTGAATTTACGTGAATGTTCGGGTGTGTTCGGTTGGCGCGTGGACAGATTCAAAATTTTCCCGCGCAAACCCGAACACAGGCGAACATTCACGAAAAGTCAAATTATCCCGCCAAAAGTGACGGGAAAATTTGATATATTTTAGCATCGCATTTATCCGTAGCACCTTCAAAAAAGGTTGCAAAAAGCTTATTGATTGCTTCAAGGTAGAGATTGCCGTGACTGTTTTGATATGTTTTGAGTGTTAATTGATTGGAAGTAGCCCTTTTCCTATTTCGAACCATATGTTTAACAGAATTTGCCCAACTTTGTGGAGGGATGTTAAAAACTTCGGTTTCTATAAGTTTGAGGACATTGGAGTTAACACGTGGAAAAACATTGTTACGAAAAGAGGCTGTTTTAGTTCATTTTGCAGACAAGCCAAAAGAATATTTTTTTAAAGTGATTGAGTTAGTAAAGGGATGTAATAAGTGTATTTAAGTTAAGGGGATTATATTGAAAAATAATAAAAAAATTGTTACTCTACGTTGTTTCGTTCATATTCGGGCCAGGATATTTTATGGAAGTTTCTAAGATAGATTTACTCAGAAATGTTCGGATATCGTAGCAATTAACCTTAGTATTCGGTGACGGCTATAATACTCACCCGTCGGTGGAACGAAGGCGAACAATATTTTCCAGAAGACGGTGAGGAAGTGCATGAAGTAATCGAGGCTGGACGGTTCCTTTTGATCGTCCTCGTCGCTCGCGCTTACCGTCATCGCTTCGATAAACTGCTCTTTCCACGATGACGTCCCGATAAGAAGGGAAGCGTTCGCCCGCTGAACCAATTTGTCCACCGTATTCTGCGGAACACAAAAGCCGATTAACAGTTTATCCGACACCCTCGTCCGTTTCGAGTTGCCGTTGTTTTTCGCCGTGAAATAAAGCACGGAATATGGAAGTTATTCGTTCAATCATTTAAGTTTTTATTTTTGTATCTTTCCTGATTTCCACAAAAACGCGTTTAAATTATATACAGTCAACGTTCATACAGTCTTTGTCTTTGAACGTGTTGCATATTATACTTTTTCTACGACTGTTAGTTTTTGGATACATTTTCCCAAAACAACACGAATACATTCACTGACATGACCGTCAGAATTGACAAACGTCAAAATTAAAAGCGTGGGAAATATCTCCGAAAACATCTGATTGCTCCCGAACCCGGCGGTAAAATCCCGTAAATGTCCGAAGTGGCCCAGATCCGTGGGACAAGACTCTCACGTGGTAAAGTGACGCTTCCCGCACACTAGATCGGTATATAATTAGGTATTTTACAGAAGGAAGCAGAATAGGATATTATGCAACAAGTGCGGTAAACGGCATTTGACTCACGAGTTTATTTGACACGAGCGGAGCGAGTGTTTGATAAACGAGTGACTTAAAAAGTTTACAGAACGTGTTGCATACTATACTTTTTATACGACCGTTAGTTTTTGGGTATATTTTCGCAAAACAACACGAATACATTTACTGACATGAACGCTAACCATTTCGCAATGATCGTTCGATTTTGAAAAATTTGCGCGGTTCGTATACCATCGTCTCGGCGGTGAAATTAAATATAGAATTCATTAATTTGTTGCTTCTGCTCGGAAAATGGTGGTTAGAGGGTGGTCATTTTTTCTGATTCTGTGAAACAACAAAAAGGAGACAACTCAATGAATTGGTTGCAAATCATTCGCCAAAAATTTATTTTTGGCAGCAGAACGGGCAACAGAAATGTAGCAAGTATTCGTATATTTGTATAACAAAAGTCAATATAAAGTGTAAACAATACTTTTACCTTCCGAATACATTAAGTCGCATTTCAACCTAAAAACGAACTCCTGCGTTACTAGAAATATGTTTTGATACTTTATATGATCAATGTGGACATAAAATTTTCTACTGGTGTTAATTGTTCAGGTATATTTGCAATTTCTCAATATAATCAGTTAATTATCAACGTGTCAACTATTTTTTAGTTTTTCTCTATTTCTTAATTACCATGTGAACATAAATTTTCTACTGGTGTAAACCAGTCTTCATATACTAATTACGTTTACATTTTCTTATCTTTCTTAATTTAATGTGTTTTGATTGTTAATTTTAGTTCTTGACTTTGCATAAACGGGAGTTGTAATTATATACTGTCAATGTTTATACAGTTTTTTTTTCAGAAATCAAGGATACTAATTATACTACGTTGTTGAAATAAAAAGAGAATAATTATTAAGAAAAGAAATTTATAACTAATAGTAGAACCTTAAACGAAAGTATAATATATTCTGATATGCAAATTAATATAGGTATATCAATTGTTCAGGTGTATTTGCAATTTCTCAATATAAATAATCAGTTTATTATCAACGTGTCAACTATTTTTTAGTCTTTCTCTATTTCGTACTTACCATATGAACACAAATTTTCTACGAATGTAAAGCTGACTTCATATATTAATGACATTTTTATTTTCTCGCCTTTCTTAATTTTTATGAAAATAATCGGCTTAATTATATATTTTTTATTTTTATAGACCATTATTAAGTGTTTTCCACGAATCAAGAATATACGTTTACTACCTTAGTCGAATAAAAAATGAATATTAATTAATAGTGGAAATATGTTGATGTTCTCTCTCATTTCTTGAATATAAGAATGTCCGTGTGTAGAATTTCCTCACATTAGTATATATGTTTGAATTACAGTTGAGTTTTGACATTGAGACTTAAAAATGAAAATAAATTTTTACTTTAGTAGAAAGAAGAAGATAATAGATAAATTTTAGTAATTAGCAATCTTCATATAATATCTTATAAGAGAGGTAAAGTTGCGATTAAGATTGTTTTTTATTTTTCTTTCATAGAAGAATCGATTGCAAGCAAGAAATTTAGTTTTATCGAATAAAATTTGATGTCCGGGTATGTGATTCAGTTTTCAAGCTCTTTCTGAGTTCCAGGAGTAGGGACTTTGACGGAGTCTACGCCGAAACTCACCATAATGCCGTTTGCATCTAATGTAAATAAGTAATCCAACAACCTGTCAAATGCTTGCGCATTCTGTAAGTGTAATGATACTTTTAAGGAAATAAAATATGAAAAAGGTTAAAAATACCTACAACTTGTGTTGTGATTGGTTGTGGAATCCCTTCAAAGTGCGCGTTTTGTTGCAGTGCCATCTATTCAAAACAACAACCAGCTAAGAAAAACTGAATTAGATAAAAGTAGCAGTACATGCTTTGGAAAGGATCATTATCATCCTGCTGGAAAATCTACTCAAACGGACTTAACGATGGATGAGTTGACTCATCATCAAAAAAGAAACAGCTTAGTTTTGCAGGAAAAATAATGTTTGGAAGATTTGGAACAAAAATAGAAAATTCGCCATATGCTTTAATGGATGATACAAACGAATGTTTCCTGCTCACATTGAATCGTCAACTCCGTTACAAATGCCAATAATCATTAGCTTCGGCAGCTCCCATTTCATTTGATGAAGAAATTACTCAAGAATTCTAGCACTGTGGCTTCAGCATAGTACTTAAGAGCCATTTTTGAATTTTTATGCCAAAATTTCCAATTATGACAAATTCTTTGTTTAAAGAATGTATTCGGCGACCATATAACAAAATCGCAATATTGCAGATTTGATAGAAATATTTGCACTGGATAATAATAAATATGATAATATAGCTGTCCTTCATTTTTAAAATTTTCAATTTAGGATACTGGTCAATGTACGCAATATGATTTGTTTTTAATGAATACGGGCACTTAATTTCCAAACACACTCCCATATGACACTCACAAAATACTAATCTGTTTTGAGGTGCAGCTAGTTTAGGCCAGTTTTCACTTATTAATAATACCCACTTTTAAAACAAAGCCAGATTCAAAGTGCGTATGAGCTTGGAAAGTCTTAAAAGCCTTCGTCTGCTGCTTAGCACAAAAGTTATGGAAAAACAGCAACACCAAAATAACTTTTTTTTTTTCAAAGAAACTTCCACGGACTACTGTAACACTGTTTATAAAACTTCTGGATTCCTCCTACGTTGATACAGTTTCAGTCAAGCTCTGAAGAAGCCAACAGGATGATTGGCGAAACGTTGGCTAGTTCGAGTCAACAATAACCGACGCAGGAGGAATCCAGAAGTTTTATAAAAAAAACCAAAATAACTTATAACATTGGTGACTGGTAGAACTCCATTAATTGAATTGTCTAAATTATCCAAGTCTAAAATAAATGGATCAATTAATTGTAGTTTCATCTGATATGTACAAAAAAAATATTTCATAATGTAGCAACACCGATTTTCTTGTGATAACTTTTTTCAGTAATGACTTTCCTTCTCAAAATAGCTAACACACCAAAATTGATTTGAACACTCATCTCAGCTCATCATACAAATGATTTTCTACCTGACCTACTACAATTGTTTGCCCTAATCGGCCATACTTGATCACATGGCTTGGATTGCCTAATGATTTTTAATGGTGCAAAGAAGTGAATGGAATTAAGTATTCGCTATAAAAGGTTTAAATATAGTAGGCGGATGTTTTGCTAGAGAATATGTTATAGAACCAATGGTGGTGATTTTTTCACGGATTCTAATAGAGAAGAAGCCCTAATAACGGATTTAATATCGCCTTCCATAGATGACGTAGGACATTTTTAAGTTTCAGTTAAGCCCTGAAGAAGCCAACATGATGATTGACGAAACGTCTGCGTTTCTTTAAAAAACCGAACGTTTTTAGTTTTCATAAACCTTCCTTATTGGAGGGTTTTACTGCCGTACAGTATTCGTTTAATTTTCAGGGTTGATCCGGGAAGATACCTAGAGAGAAAGTGTTATTCGCAGTGCAGACGTTGTTGTCCCATTAATTAAATTCGAAGGGTCTCGGTTAAGATAAAAAAAAAGAACTCGTTCGTTTCGACAAAGATTGGCCACGCATTTGCCGATGTAGACGAGAAAAAAGTCTAATAACGAGAAGATTAGAGCGAGCAAAAGAGTCAGGAAAGCGAGGTTAAACTTTTTCGGAGGTCGTCTAATTTCGTTGGAATACGTTGTCGGTTTTAATTAAGCGCCCCTAGCCGTTGCCTTCTTTTATCACTCGGTGGTTTACTTTGTCGAAAATGAATATGCTCCTTATCTATCCGGACGTTAGATAAACTATGTCTTCTTGAAAATAAAAATTTGAACAAACGTCGAGACCAGCTATGGGTTCTCCACTATCACCAGTTATCGCGAATATATTTATGGAAGCCTTTGAGAAGAAAGACATCGACACCTTCCATCTAAAACCAAAATATGGAAACGCTGCGTCGACGAGACTTTTGTTATTTGGCCTCATGGTTAGGAAACCCCAGTAGATGTTGGTATACACCCCAACATACGTTTCACCATTGAGTTGAAAACTAATAACATCCTCCCATTCTTAGATATTCTTATCAATGAAAAATCAAACCTAATATTAGGTCATTGTGTTTACAGAAAACCTACACACACAATGCATGGTCACATCACCATCCGGCCCAAAAATCATCGGTTATCAACTCTCTTGCTTACAGAGCCTTGAAACTATCTCAGCCCGAGTCACTGAACCCAGAATTAAAACACCTTACCTTTGCTCTCCTCTCTAATAATCTCCACATCACGATCAAAAAATACACTTCACCACAAACTTTCAATGGCAATGAGCCCGAAAGCAATCCTACACTTGCGACTGTGGTCCTTCCTTACATTCAAAATATCACTGACCACATATCACCACGGTGACTACCCCTTTTGTACTGATTCATAGGACAATCAGCTCCTTTATGT